GATATGTGCCTGTTTGTTACTTCCAGAATATGTTGTTTAAAACTGTTCCATAGGATATATATATTTCCTTGTTCTTTAGTATTTCCCTATTATATCCTTAGTTCAATTTCATCCTTGAAGTTTTTCCATTGTTTGGTTTTTGTTCTGTGTCAGTTATATCTATGGTTTTGCATGTGAATTTTCTGTTTCTTTTGTTTATCAAGTTGCTACATCTCTATTTTTGTAGTTATTATTTTATGATTACTTTTATATAGGAAATCGGGATGGTTCATTATATGGGAGTTTCTTGATTGCCAGGTACTTTGTGGGTGGTACCAGATTTAATCGATCCTACTGATTGCTCCTCTGCTATTTTTTCATATGTATACCACTTATATTGAATTGTGCATTCTGAAGGTGTTCTCAATGTTTCTAGTAATTAAACATTTCAATAGTTCTAATTCTGGCCAGTGGTTATTTGATTTTTTTATGTTGTGTTGTTTGTCAATAAAGGGATTTAATGTGGTATTAAAATTATCTCCTATCACTATGTGTGATGTCTCTTTCTCTACTTGTATTATTCATTCTTGGATCATGCCCTCTATTGCTGACTTTACTTTCCTGTTATTGTTTCTCAGTGGAAGATATACACTTATTATCCTTAATTTATGTTTATCTGAAAAGTCTATGTCTATGTCTATTACTATTACTCTGCTCTCTATCTTTTGTTTCTTTTAAATTCTTTCTGTAATATCTTTATGGATTGTGATGCATACTCTATGTCCAATTTTTCTTGTAAGGTTCACAGAGATTGTTAGTTAATATTCTTGTTGTTTCCAGTGCTTGACCTGGTTCATATCTCTGTTGGTCTCCATAGTAATAATGATTTCCTATCTATTCTCTATGTAGAATTCTATCCACAGTTTGCATTTGTTCTCTTCTACTGTGCCTCTTATATTGTGTGTTGCAATTGTTTATATTGGATAATTGTTTATTAATTTGTTATTATGTGATATGATACTTTTGTTTGTGTGTTTATCTGTATTTTGTGTTATCTGTTTATAGGGGATTGGGTGCTTGGTACTGTGTTATTTATTTTACTACTTTCACTTCTCTGGGGGTAATCCTGAGTATTGTCTATCATATTATTGGATGTGGTTATGTCCTGGAAGAATGGTCTGTTGAGAAAGCTTAAAGAGGTTGATTGCTTCTTCTATTGTTGAGCTCATTTTATTGAACTGTTGTTGATATACTTTCTGTGTTTTCCTGATGTCTTGAATCCTTGTGCTTGTTTCAGTATCATGCTCCTCATTGTTGATAGGTATTGACCCTTCTAACTTCTCCATGAGTTCACCTATACTCTCTGGGTATTAGTTGATATATTCTTGTTCTAAGACATTGACTCTTTCATTCAGATCTTGAAGAGAGTTCTTCATTTTCTTAATCTCTCTCTGGATTGCTGATAAGGCCTACCAGATGTTTTCATTATGTTGACTGGTGTTGGGACTTAATTTATATTTCAAGATGCTTGTATAGCTCCTGGTGTTTTCATTTGTTCTAGTATTTATAGTAAGGTTAGGGTTGAGGTTTGTTCTGTATCGGGGTTATAGTAGAATTCTTGGGTTGTTGAACCTATTGATATATTGTCTTGGAGGGTTTAGATTTGTCTGGGCATGTGTACATATTGTGTTTTGGTAAGCTGCAGATGAGACACAGTTTTGTTTTGTAGTTGATCCATATACTATAGTTTGGGTTTCTTTGATTACAAGGGATACTGATTTCACATCTAGCAATTCTTTTCTGTTCTGAAAAATAAAGATAGCAAACCTTTTAGCTTGGTTGTTATTATTGTAGTTAATATAGACTGATTTTGCCTTCGTGCTGATAATGGTAAATGTCAGATCTGCTACTATTTTATCTGATAGTAGGTATGTGAGTGTAGTGCTGAAGCATCCTTTTTGTTCCTTGATTTCATATGTTTTATAGTAAGGGAAGATTCTGCACGAGTAGAAATCTTTGCGAGTACCCAGTCCTGACTGATCTCTATGTAGTCTAATATATTGAAGAAAGTAATGTTTGCTGTTTGAAAGGGTCCTGCTCTTTACAAGATGATATAATCAATGCTGATTTGTTTATCAAAGAATTTTACTAGGTCTGTTTTGATAAAATATTGGGAAATATTCCATATCTGAATAGTGTAAGAATTGCTTTCTTTGGATTCCAATAGGCAGTTTTTTTAAATTTGGTATTTTCATAATCAGTGATCTTTAATTCACATGCTTTTTGTGTAACCTCCTGATTACTGAAAATGGCTGTGATTTGGAACTTTCCTACTGGATACTCATATCTTACGTATTTCAAGGAGTTGAGGTATTTTATTTTCTATTTGGTAAATTCTAATTTCTTTATAAATGTTTGTCCTGGTACCCTTTCCAAATTGATGAATGCTTTCTATGGTTTGGATATCTCTCGTTAGTCTTGATGGTTTTATCATAATATGAATCTTTCATATATATCTCTCTGACCATTATATCTATATACTGCTTGATCAGTGATATCTGCTTGCTTGTACTGAGTTTGTAATTCTTGGATGTTTCTGTCTTCAAACTTGCAGACTGTGATTGGGGATAGTACTCTGCTGCTTGCTAGGACTTCTGCTAGTTCTGATATCTGTCTTGTTTCTTCTATTTCTATCTCCTTGGGTTGCATAGTAGTGTTGTCTGTCTCTTTTGCCTTTCCTTTATCTACTGAATGCTTCAGGAGTGCATTCTGATTCCAAGGAGTGTGTGCCTGAGTTATGATATGGGTGTTATCTCTTTTACCTTCAAGATCCTTCCATTGTTCTTACTGATTCTATTAATATTATACTTGAGTATTGTTTGTCTTTCTGAGCTCCTCAGTTTCTAGTGGTGGTCATTTTGAGAAGGGTTGTTATCTTGTAGCTAGGAGCAAGTTCTTTTTGTGTTTTTGTTTAATAAGAAAATTTTTTGTGATTTTGAGATTTTTGGGCATCTAATTTTATTTTGTAATCTTCAAATAGGATAAATATAAATACAAAATAGTATATATAAACTTTTTTTATATCTTTCACTATTATAAGATTCATATTCATATTTTTACTCAAATAATTTTTTTTTAAAAAATTTCTTATCTATTATTTTATTAAATATTAATATTAATTTTATTTTATATATATTATTCTTCTTCAATTTCTTTTTTTTTTTATTTTTCTCTTTAGTATCATATAACTAGTGATATTTCAATAAACTAATATTGGGTTTAAATTACATTATAGTTAAAGTATACTTTCTATAACAAACTATTTATTATTTATTTATATTATTATTATATTTTATTCATATTTCAATAAATTAATTATTTCATATTTTTTAAAAAAAAATTAATAGAGTTTTGTTTTTATTTTTAAATAATTTAAAATTTTTTTCAAAAGTTATTACTATATATTTTTCTTATTTATAAATTTTTTAATTAAAAACTTGACTTTTAATAATAATAAATAATTACAATATTTTTATTATTAATATTAAAAAAGTTTTTAAAAAAAGAATAATTATTATAAAATATTTGATGTTTTTTTATATTAGAAATAAGTATTAATAAAGATTTTTATAATAAAAAAATATTTTATTCTTTATATATTATTTATATTATTCTAAATTTCTATTTTTATAGTTTTTTAGAATAATATAATTTTTGTTAAAGATAATTAATTATTATAAAATATGTTAGTTTTTAAATATAAATATATCTTTATTAATTATAAATTAATAGTATTATTGATAATAATAAAAAAAATTAAAAAGAATTTTTTCTTTAATTATCAAGTTTCAAAAACAATAAAATATTAATAAAAAATTTTTATATAATATATTAACTTTTATTTTTTATTAGATTCTTCAGATAGTAAAAAAGTTTAAAATATTCTAGTTTTAATTGATTTTTAAAAAGATTTTTTTATTTTAATCAGATAAAGTCTCTTATAATATAATATTGACTCTAAAAATACAATAAGTAAATTTATATATTGTTAAAAGAATAAGTTTTTTAAATGTTTTTTTGAAAAATTTATACAAAAATAGATAAATTTTTTGAATGATTAAAAATAATTAAATCAGGTGAATTCCTTTTAAGAAAAAGCTATTGCTATGAATAAGAAGCTTTGAAAGAAAATTTGAATTGTGTAATTTTATTTATTTTTTTCTTCTACTCTAATAATTAATTTAGCAATTTAATATATTACAATAATTCTAATAAAAGGGATCATTAGTATTAATATATCAAAAGATTAAAATACTGTTTCCTAAATTTGACTTAGAGTACCTACCTAGTTAAGACTTTGTTTTGTTTAATTTAAATTAGTTTAGTGGACCCTTTATATTTTTAAAATAGTGTAATCCTTCAACTAATATGTGAAACAAGTTAGCTATCATATTAATAGGTAATATAATATTGTAGATGTTTATTTAATGTTTCAATAAATGATTGCGAGTTAAAAAATAAAAAATTTATTATTCAAAAAAAGTAATTAGTAAAAAGAATGAAATCTTATGTAATAAATAATAACTATAAATACTCATACAATAAAGTATTTAAAAATTAAAAAATTGTGTGCTTATAATTATTTCATTAGATAAAGAGCGATTTATAAAGATTATATCATTAATATAATATAGGATTAGCCATCGGAGCATTGTTTAAATTCTAATAGATTAATGATCGACAAACATAATTTTATTATACGTTGTTCTGGTTCACGCAAAGCAATCTCACTCTAACAAATATTAATGGTTTTATTCAATAAGACAGATTCGTCGAGCGATACTATATTCAGTTGTTTGTAAATCAATAAACGTGAAATCTGATGTTTGAGCGCGTTCAAAACATCAGATGTGAAAAAATAATACTACTACGGCATTAAAACAATCATAAAAGTAATAATGGATGAGTTGTTCTAAAACTCCAATTCAAACGCAGAATAAACGGATGAGATCCAAAATAAATCATTTAGAAAGCCTCGAGGATCTTCTCAGACCAGCTCTCTTTTCAACAGTCTTAGTGGATCTCCGATTTGGGGGTTTTTTTGCCGGTTTCTTTATAGCAGGTTTAGTAGGTTTAGTAGGTTTGGTGGTTTTTTTTGCAATACTTTTCTTTTTAGCCTTCTATAGATTAGTTCAATTGTTCACATTAATCTTTTTTGAATAGTAGTGACGAAATTTTAATTATATTATACAAACCTTTTCAGCTTTAGGTTTAGCTTCGTTCTTTTCAACCCTTTTGGCCGCTTTAGGCTTTTTCTCATCGATTTCTTTTTCTTTTTTAGCAGGTTCCTTCTTAACTAGTTTAATGGTAGCTTTGGGCCCTTTCAAAAGAATATTTACATATATTTGAAAACCAAAGATGCGACATGAGAGTAGATATGAATTTTAAAACGAAATCATGCAATACCATACGGATAAGCGAAAACGCCATTTTCTACACCTTTAGAAATCGCGTTTCGAAGACTGAGGTTTGTAGTTCCATTGTCAGGAAGTTTGTAGTGATTGACAATATATTTTTTAATTGCCTGACGACTATAAAAAAATAATATATATTTATATATAAATAAGTAACATCCATCACACAAATCACGCGCGTGCTCAAATTTACCTGCTTCCTTTTCTGTCTTTCAGGTTAATTATTGCATCTAAATGTAGTGCCAAGGAATATTAATAAATAACTGAGGCATTGCACAAGGTTTAACGAGTCTTACCTGTGATCATGTCCTCATATTTGGGATGAGAAGGAGTCTTCGGTTTAGTTTTAGACATGGTTAACTACCAAAGGCTAGAAATTTTAAAATTAAGAAGTGTTCGAGAAAAAGGTGAAAAACTGATGAATACGTACATATATATATATTTAATAATATGATGTAATGTGTGATTTGCTAATGAATATGTAATGGATCATAAATAAAACGGACGCGTCACATTACAATCACACGCTGCAACGCAGTAGAGTACAATTAAATGTATAGTTCTATTATGGAAAAGCAACCTTGTAACTTGCTACGGCGACTGCGGTACGCAATTGATAAAAAACTCTAAAATATATTGCCTTTATTCTTAAAGAAATATATACAGTACGCACTAAAATAAATGAATTATTTCAAAGTGATTTATTAATAATTTTATTTTATTTTGCATTAAAAACCTTTGCTTACGAAGTATTTTTGTTAATTGTTTTCTTTTTAAAAAACAATCAAGTAATATTTAATTTATAATAATTAAAAATATTTTTCAACGAAAATATCTATAAATACTAAATTAGAATTTTTTTTTTTTTTATTCTTTTAAAGATAAAAAGACAAATTTAATTATTGATTTATAAGCCATCAATAATATCTTTTTATAAATCTAATATAAAAATAAAATATATAATATTTTATATAAATTAAAAAAAAATAATATTTATTAACTAATAAAAACTCTTTTTATCAATTCTTTGCCTACACACAAAAAAGATATTTGCAAAAAATTTTTTTATTTCTTTGATAATAAAGTCTTAACATTATTATTAAACAACTTGAAGTTTTACTTCAAAAGATATTTTCAAATTCCTTCTCTTATTTATATTCATCTTCAAACAAAAACTTGATTTTCTGTAACTTAGAAAAGTCAAAAAATACTTTCTCTACTTATGGCAAAAAAGTTCTGCAAGGAAGAAGAACCAATAGTACTTAAAGTCTTTCATATTAAAACATGTTTATAAAAATCTTCTATAGTAGGAGGTAATAAATATCAAGTTATATTTTCAAGATATCTACCTATTATATTTCTTCTCTTATAGTTACCTAAATTTTTTTGATTTTGGATGAAATTTTGCTATTTCAATTTGATCTTGAATTTTATGACACAACTTATTATAAAATATGATTGATAAATACAAAATATATTAGTAGTTAAATGTAAACAAGTATCTTATATATTCTAATAATATTATTGATAAGAGAAAGAGTTAATTGATACTTTATTTCTGTCTCACTTTTTCAATTAGGTTAATTTATAGATCAAGTTTTATGAGATCAATAAAATACAAGTAACAAGTTTTTAAATAATAAAAAAATTGCTATTTATTTAAGCTAAGATTTTTCTTTCTTAATATATTATTTCAGTTAGATAAAATTCAAGATCAAAATATCTTTCTTATTTTGATCAGGCAATAAGATTAAATAGTTTTTAGTTCATGCTAAGTTTCAACTTTTTGATTATAATTGAAAATACAATTCACTAGAAGTTATTGAAAAATATCATAATCAATGAGAATTTTATTTACAATTTATTCTTTTACTATTAAAAAGTAAAGAGAAGATTAAAGAATTCAATTTTTTGAAAAATAGAAAATATTTATCAATAAAATTTCTTTAACTAGATATAACTGTCAAAAGATATTATAGTAAAACAATATTATTCAATTTTTATTGAATTACATAAGAACCTGAATTGATTATAAATTATCTATTTATTATAGATAAATAAAAAAACATTATTTAAAAAAATTGAAATCAGGTGTATTACTTGAAATAAAACTTCAATAAATGATTAATTTTTTTAAATTATATATAAGAAAAAAATCAAAAACAAGAATATATAAGTTCCTCAGATAGTTAAAAAAAAAATATCCCAATTGAATATTTCTTATTGAAAAGAAGTCTTGAGAGTAGGTCTTTAGAGAAAGTTGAAGAATTTTATTTTTTTTTCTTTTCATTTTTTGTAAGTCTATTTGAATATTTTTAAATATCCACATTTCTCTTTTTTAATATATATTTTTTATAATTTCTTATATTTCAGTAGCTTGATAGAATATTTAATAATAAAAATCTACTGATAATAAAGTAATAAACTAGAAGGGTATTTACTTAAAAAGTATTATAAAATAAAATTTTGTTCTCAAAATCAAATTTACAAACTATTATTGTTTATAATAAGTTAGTTAGCTTTGATAGAAATATTTAATTGTAGTATATATTATGCTACTTGAATAAAAATATATTTATATTTTCAGTTGATTAATAAATTATGATCTAGTCCAATTACAAGTACTTAAAAAATATTTATTAACTAATTTTTATTATTTATAATATATTTTATTTAGAAATTAATTAGTCTTTTTTTATAATATAACTAATTCATCTTAATATATAAGTACTTTAAGTTTAATTTTATGAACAATAATATACTTCTTTAGTTAAATTATATTTATTTTTATTTATTAGAATTATTGTCTATAGTTTATTCTATTAATTAATTCAAAAAATTATAAATTGTCAAGATTATAAAAAGGAAAAAAAAACAATAAAATAGATAAAAGAACAATTCAAGTCTTCTTTAAAAAATTATTAAATAAATAATCTTAATTTAAAGAGATTTGTTTAATTAAAATATTTTTTTTACTTTAGTTTAAATTTTAAAAAAAAATTTTTTATTGTTATTTATAATATTTAAATTTAACTAGTTTTTTAGTTAAATCTATATTAAATTAAAATAATCTAAAAGAAATAAAAAGACTTTAGTTTTTGTTTAATAAAACTTTGATACAATTTAAGGAACTTAATAGAGATAAAAACTAATAATTTACTTTATTTATCTTTTATTTTTCATTTTTTTTTTTTTTTTTTTAACCGCAGTCAGGTCAGCATGACATGTCTTTATTGTATATATACTAGGTATTTACAAATTTTGTGACTTTCACATATTGACTCACTTGTCGTCGAAAAATTATTTCTCTAAATACAACCTAGGGAATAATATTTTGCTCCTTTACTAATTTGAAATATTTTCTCTAATTAATAAATTCATTGCCTACAGATCATTACTGTAGATCATTTTAAGTTCTGTCTGCAGTTAAAAACCAAATCATTTTATTCCGTGACAGATTCAATTCTTAATAATCACCGTATACTTCTTTCCTTCTATTTCTTTGATACTTTCTAGATTTAAATCCTTTGAAGATAATGGCACTTCTTTTTGTTCTTGTTTAGTCTGTTCGGCATGTCTAGACTTGGGCCTCTTGTTTCTTTTGTCCTCTTCTGTAATATTTTGCTTTTTTTCCTATTCTACACTTGGG